GGTCATAATGGACAAGCAAGTCACCCTGATACAGTAAACAGCTAATGGAGAATACTGAGAAGGTTGTCTAAGAAAGGACTGAACTCTCTAGGCAGCATCATCAGTACCCACTGCAGAATTCTTCCCATAGGTCTGCCCTGTTGTCACCGTTTGACTCAGGTCCGACAACAATGGAAAATTGGCTTCATCCTGGCCCAAACCAGGACACCAGTGTATTTTAAAGGGGCTACTGGAAAATTGGAAAAGCTTCAGAAAAAATCAGAAGGAAAAAAACTTTAGGAAAGGTAAAATTGCCCAATGAAATACTTAGTTCAGTTTACAAAAAAAAATAATGTATGAAGATATAACTGTAGGGAAGTACAGAGAAATACTGAATAGTAAAAAGGTCTTAAACTCAGTGGAAAAAAATAGTAACAAATGCTGGAGATACAAGCCAGACAGCACTAACTTGAAATAATGGCTTTACTTTTTAAGTATCAACTCATTGCAGGAATAAGATAAGGATAATAGTAAGGTATAATGCCCACCTTTTTCTGACTTCTGGCCAAAGCCTTCTAGGAGATATTTACCTTTACTCTGATACAGCTGAGTGAAGTTATACAACTCCTGATCAAAGCTGTACCACATTTTCTGATGGTCTTGCCTGAATATTTTCCCTCTGTCTGCTTCTCAGGCCCTTCCCATCTGTGGATTTCAATCCCTTCTTCCTGCACATAAGCAGTGACAGATAGGACTTATGTGCATTGGTTTCCACTGGGATTCCAGGTTTGGTGCAGTCTCATCCCAATGTTGCAATGTGGTCTCTGCACCTGTATTGTCACCTCCATCCAAAAGCTCTACAGATCCCTGAACTATGCAGTGCATTTCTGTCCTCAGGGTCTCTTCCATTTTAACATACATCTGAGTTGAGCTAATGGCAAAGACATGAAGAAAACACTGGTCCACAAAAGTTCATTGGTCAGAAAAAGCTACTTTCAGCATCTTAAGAGATGCCTGAAATGGATTGCAGCAGCAGCCCTGTGGAGCTCGGTCATTTCTTGGGCCCAGGACATGTCTACAGATACCCCTGCAGATATGAAACTTGAGCGTTGAATTATGTCTTCACTCCAAAACCAGCTGCTAGATGGGGTGGTGGTAGATAGGGTCCCTTGTAGCCCTAGTCAGATTCTAAACTAATTGCTAAACCTGGAGAACATTTGGGAGTGGGTAGAGGTGCAGTGTTCCAGGCAATATGCCATTAGGAAACGTTTATTGTCTCAAAGAAACACTTCAACAGAGAAGGCTGCATGGGTTGATTGCCATTCCAGGAATGCTGCTAGGCTGCTGTTCTCTGCTTAGAAACTTGAAGAGAAGGAGAGCAATGTAATTTCATATGGGCCATGGCAAGAATGAAACAATGCTGAAACGCAAGTTTGCCTGGAGGAAGGTGGGCAAGGAGAGGAAGTGGTCCTTGTCAGTACAAGGAAGCATGGAACAATAAGGGGAGGAGCAGGCTAAAGAAATTCCTATTCCCCAAGAGTTTCCTTTTAAGCACAAGGTGGGTGTGTCTCCCTCAAACATAAAACACATCCTAAAATAAACATGCAGTTTTATTTGTGAACATACACATTCCTTATGGTGCAGTGTTGTTTTGTGTCCATTTAGAAGTTACAGCCAGAACCTTTCAAGTTGCTCAGACAGCAAAGGAAGCAGAAATGAAAGCAGAGTAAAATTGTAGTGATAAAAGGCAAACAGTGGTCCTTTCTTTTCAGTAGTTGTTTGGGTTACTTTTTAAACAAACAGTTGTACTCCTCCCACTGCCTCCCCCTGCCATATTCCCTGCAAAAAAAGAAAAAGAAAAAGAAAAAAAAATTAAAGGAGGCTCATGAAAGGCAAGAACACACAGAGCAGTCAGGAAAACACTATGGAAGTAATCAGTAGTGACCAGTAGCTGGCACAAGTGGGTAAGTGTAGGACACCACGGTGCCTATTATTACCAAACTAGCCCATTACTGTAAGTGTTCTTCCACTAACAATGTTATTGAAGGTAGCATAAGGAAAAACTCAACATTACTTGATTTTGCTGTAGAAAATTATCACTGGAGAGAAAGTGGGTAATTGTGTTTAAGCTATTTAGTTTTTTAGGTGGATGTCTGCATGGTTATTTTACACAAAGAAAAATAGCAAATGACATTATTTTATTTCAAATTTGTTCATAAGGCAAAGCTTGAGTCTAGTCTTTTTTTCATTACTCAGTGTTTCAGTGGAGACACTGACAAGAACAATGATCAGAATGCAGAGACTATTCTCAAGCCTTGTCACATCCCAGGAATGGAGTAGCTATATTTGTATCCTACTCCTGGATAGACATTCCTAGGAAAAGCCAGACACTGCAGGAAATGGTATAATACCTCCAAAGTGATGTTACTTGCTTGGAGTTGGCTCTAAAAATGCCTCAATATGGTGATAAGGGGTCCACTGCAGATTTCTGGTAGGAAGGGTGTAAGGACTCGGTCTTAGCTGATAAACACTTAATGCATTTTACTACCAGAATGTTAAGTTTAGGACGTTCAGTAATTGCAATAAGTGATGTAAAAATCCAAAAGGTAGATCTGGCTGGGAAGCCAGGCTTACAATATACTCAACCCACTTCTATTCACAGAATCAACAGAATCTTAGGGGTTGGAAGGGACCTGGAAAGATCATCCAGTCCAACCCCCCTGCCAGGCAGGATCACCCAGAGCACATCACACAGGAACGTGTCCAGGTGGGTTTGGAATGTCTCCTGTGAAGGAGACTCCACAGCCTCTCTGGGCAGCCTGGCCCAGGGCTCTGTCACTCTCACAGTAAAGAAGCCTTTTCTGATATTTACATGGAACCTTCTGTGTTCCAGTTTGTACCCACTGCCCCTTGTCCTATCACTGGTCATCACTGAGAAAAGCCTGGCTCTGGCCCCCTGACACTCACCCTTAACATATCTGTAAACATTGATGAGGTCGCCCCTCAGTCTCCTCTTCTCCAAGCTAAAGAGACCCAGCTCCCTCAGCCTTTCCTCATAAGGGAGATGTTCCACTCCCTTCATAATCTTTGTGGCTCTGCACTGGACTCTCTCAAGCAGTTCCCTGTCCTTCTTGAACTGAGGGGCCCAGAACTGGACACAATACTCCAGATGCAGCCTCACCAAGGCAGAATAGAGAGGGAGGAGAACCTCCCTTTACGGACTAACCACCTTTCTAATGCACCCCAGGATGCCATTGGCCTTCTTGGCCACAAGGGCACATTGCTGGCTCATGGTCATCCTCCTGTCCACCAGGACCCCCAGGTCCCTTTCTCCTACCCTGCTCTCCAGCAGCTCAGCCCCCAACCTGTACTGGTACATGGGGTTTGTTCTTCCCCAGCTGCAAGACTCTACACTTGCCCTTGTTGAATTTCATCAAGTTTTTCCCCACCCAACTCTCCGGTTGTTTCCCTCCCTGTTTGGAACTGGCAACAGTTTTTCAGCACTCACAGCCTTCAGCTGCTGCAGACTTGCTGCTGGCTCAACTGTGAAGTGTTTGGCACATAACATTTCCAAAATAGTCTGGAGGGAAAGATTAGCTACCCATGCTGTGATTTCAATAATTAGATGCCTCAAAGCAGCAGTGGATACTGTGAAACAATAGCACATACTACAGTATTGGAGACTGGCGAATATGCAGTTCTCTCTCCCTTCTTTTCCACAAGTTCTTTTTAGCCTCCACACATGAAGCTGGACTGGATAAAACCTCAGAATAATTCTTAATCAGTATATACAAGAAGGCACTTGATTAGAATAGACTTCAGTCCTTCTGGGCCGAGATGAGCTCAGGAAAAAAACTGACTCAGTTTTTAACTTGGATGAAATCTCTCTGGTGTCTCATAATTCTAGAAAGACTGTTTTCTGACTGCATCAGAATGCCAAATTGTCAGTATCTGTCTGAGTACTGGAGAAAACTCCAGCAAGGTTCAGAAGATTAGCAGAAACAGCCTCTCATATCTCACAGAGTGTAACCAAACATATATGCCATTATTAGTCCAATACAAGTTACTCCAGTTGAACTAAGATAACAAGAAACGTACCATGACACAAAATCTCAGAACAATCAGAGAATAATTTTTAATCAGTTTGCATTGAGTATTGCTTTATTCTCAGTATGATGCACATCTGAATTTTAATAGTCTTCACCTCCAGATATCAAAAGTATTCATCCCAAAATACTCAAAATATAACAGCATAGTAGCTACACTTCCAGAAACTTATTCCATGATTTAGGATAAGATTTCACATGGGAACTTTGTCCTAAATGATGTCTCTTGAAATGCTGTTCCCATATCTCCTGTGTGCAGGTCATTCAGATTTTGCACAAATAATTGTTCATGTCTCTCTCATGATGAAATAGTTTGTCCTGTGCTTTTCCTTACAACAGAGAGCTCACTCTTTTTCCATGAAAATGTGTTAATTACATTTATAAAAATAGAGATTTCTGATTGATTAACCATGTAATTACCTGGTGATGATTAAGCATGTAATTACCTTTTGATGGCTAGGAAACAGTAAGAGCAGACCCCTTCTCCTTACTTTTTACCATCTGTAACCATTTGGTGTGCTGGATTCTTCACACCACATACTTCATCTCCTATAAATCTCAAGAGGGACGATCCCTATTGTTGCCTATTTATGCAGTCTTTCAGTATTGCATTTAGTTATTTAAAGAATATTAATTTCAGGGCCAAAACAGCTGGAAATGGCTGTAAAATACACTGTGAGTAAAATGGCCATATATGCTTAATTCAGCTAGCTTTAATCTAGCTTTTTGTCAATGTGCTTGAATTGCCCCACACTTTTTGTCAGCACTTCCACTAGAAATAGTTTAGAGACCCCGACTGGCCTTATTTTGCAAGATAAGTCATTTTTGTAAGTCTACTTTGTAGGATGTATTCTGCTGGCTTTACTGAGGAACCAACATGACTAACATGGCTTTTCTCTCTTTTCTCCAGAAATCACAAAGCCACCACTAGCACCAAAACCAAAGTTTATTGGTCTTCTTTCTCCAGTAGCTGTCTCCAAATTTTCTCCTTCACTGCCAAAGGCTGATATTCTTCATAACCCGAACTCTATGTCTAGGGGTCCCAAACCACCTATTGCTCCCAAGCCAAAATTCTCAGCTGACACTGAGGGCAAATCCAGTGTTTATACCAACAATAACTTAAATAAATGCTCAAATGGGAAACTGGTATGTCTTGATGGAGGGCTGTATGAAGGAAACCAATGCCATGCTGATTACTCAGAATCTGAGGCTGATAATGAATACATTGTTGTTCCTGAAGCTCAGCTGACCAGCAAAGACTGTGATGACTTGGAACATGAGCATGATCAGAACCTAGATGTGTCTGTGGAAAATGAAGTCTCGGAAATTCCAGAAGAGGTAAAGAAGGAAGAGGGTAACATTGCTAATGATAAGGATACCAGTAATCAAGAAGTCACTGAAGATAAGCACCATCACTCTTCAGATATTGCTGAAACAATGGAACCAGACTCTGAAGAATCAATCAGAGAGATTGATCAGGCTGAAGCACCTTATGAGGTGTCCTCAGATACCCCTGATGGGGATAATGATGTTTCCAAGAACGTAGATGAAGAGGAGTATGTTCTATATGATTGCAGTGAAACCAAAAACAAGAAGGAAACTTCTAACAACCTGGAACTGGATAAGGACAGTAGTGATTGTAAGACTGACAGTGATAACATTTTAAATACAGATGAGGAACTAATGGGTGATATCTGTAATGATACCATTGCAGTGCCACTACCCACAGATGAATCAATCTCAGGTTGTGAGAAGACAGACCAGGAGGAGGAACAACAGCCTGAGATATTAGAAAAGGGAGATGGGCGTCTAGCACATGATGGTGACCACAGCACATCTGGAGAGCTTGATTTGAACATAGAAAAGGGGACAGAAAATGATGACTGTGCAAGCCCTATTGAGCTAGCCAAGGAGGCCAGTGAAGAAACAGCTGCTGGCTTAGGACTGTATGAAGATGAACCTAATGATGAAAATGGTTTGGGAGAGTCCATCTATCAAGCAGCAGCTGAAGAGGAAGAAGCAGACCCAGATGACCACAATAATGAAAACACAGGAAATGCCAGTGATGGCTGTCAGATCACAGAGAGGAGAAGTGAGGAGAAGACATCAGAGGAAGCCTGTGAAGCAAGCAAAGACTCTGGAGAAGAGGAAGAAGAAACTGTGAGTACAGAGCATATGGATGATGGCTGTCAAATTGCTCCTTGTAGTGAGGAAATACCCATGGAAGATGAGAATCTTCAAACAACAGGGACCTCTCTGGATGAAGATGGTGTGATCTCCGATAGCCTGCTTAGTAGTCAAGGGATGGAGCCAGAGCGGGAAGATGTGACTCTTGAAGAGCATAGTGGAAGTATTGTGGAAACCTCTAAGTCAGATGACCTGCAACTTGAAGATAATGAGGTGGAAGCAAAGAGGCTCAGCAAAAGTTTTCCAAGTCCACCTCAAGAGGTCCTACTTGAGGCACAGTTAGAAGCCTGTATGCACAGCAAAACGGATGTAGAATGTGGGACCAAACATGTCTTGCATGAAAATCTAGAAGTCCCTGAAGTGGTCATTGTGCCTGAAGAATCAGAGGAAAGAGAAATTAGCAGTGATTCCCTAGATGACCCTTACGTGCTTCCAGCAGAAAATGAAACTGCTCATGATGGGCAGGCTGATTTAGGAGCTGAACACAGTAAAAGAGATAAACTAGGTATGGATGGTGAAAACAACTTGCTGCCCATTGATCGTAAAAACGCTGTCACCAGAACACGGTCGCTCTCTGGGAAAATGCCAGGAAGTGTCCCAGAAACAGTTCCAGAAGAAACTGGACCTGAAACTGATCTACCATGTTCTCACAATGTCTCTGGGACAGAAGATTTAAGCAGTAATATATTTTCAGTGGAAGGAAAACCAATGGAAGCCAACAGGGCATTACCAACCAAGTTAAGACATTTCATTTTATATCCTCGATCTTACTCTGTTGAAGGAAGAGAAACACCTATCTCTGTGAACAGAGACAGTGATGTCTGTGTACTGGATGATGGTAGGATAAAAAGGACAGAAGACAACTTGTCTTTGCCTTGTGTTAATGGTTCCTCAGGTAGTTTTTCCCAGAGAAATCATTTTTCATCATGTGGTGTATCTACTCCATCCTCAGTTGTTGATATACCACCTCCTTTTGAACTTGCCTACATCACCAAAAAGCCAATCACTAAAAGTTCCCCTTCACTTTTGATAGAGAATGATTCACCAGATAAGTATTCCAAGAAAAAGAAATCCTCCTTTAAGAGGTTCCTCACTCTAAAATTCAAGAAGAAAACTGAAAGTAAAGTTCATGTAGATGTTAATGTTTCCTCTTCAAGGTCCTCATCAGAGTCTAGCTATCATGGGCCTCCAAGGCTGATGGAGGTGGACCGGAGGAGCCTAAGTAGTTCACCTCAACTAAAATCACACGTGGGGAAGTTCCGTGCAGCTGAGTCTCCCTCAGCTGTTCTTTTCTATAAGGATGGTAAAAGAAAAGGAACACCCAAGTCCTTCAGCAG